TGCATACTGTCATTAGTCGAAAAAATGTTCTCTCCTGTTTGTGCTAAGGCATTACAGTAAGTGTCTGCAGACGATTTAGAGTGCTTTTAAACTCACATTCAAAATGCAAAATGGCTCGCTCTCTACCGGATTTGAACCACCAACCTCTTGCACATTCAATGTCAGCAAGTAGCCATTACACTACTGCACCACCAACGCACATAGCAGTGCCCTCAAACTCAAGGAGTGCCCCCAAAATAGGATGTTCAGGCTTTCATAACTCTCTTCAGAAGAGCGTTCCGCAGAAACGGAAGACAGATTTGAAATCAGCGTTCGAAGCTGCTTCAGATGGTATGCATCTCATATCAAACAGCCACGGCCATTGAAAGTACTTCCCTCGTCAGACCCCCTCCCCTCCCCGCGAGGATGTACGTGCGTACGGGCCTTAGGCGGAGCCTTGATAATCTTTGTAAAGCTTGCTTCGTTTTATCGAATGGAGCCCTATGTCTGCCAGGAAAACAAAACAACGTGGTTTATTCAAAAAAGGAGTTTACTTTGAGACGACCTAATATACAATACCGCTCATAATTCGTCAAAAAAGTCGCCGGACTGCGGCGGAGTGCGCCGGAGTGCGGCGGAGTGTGGTGAAGTGTGGCGCAGTGCGCCGGAGTGCGGCGGAGTGTGGTGAAGTGCGCCGCACTCCGCCACACTCCGCCGCACTCCGGCGACTTTTTTGACGAATTATGAGCGGTATTGTAAGGTGTACTCACTCTGTTTGTCTACATGATTTCATTCGAAAACCCATCGTCATGTTGTTTCTCTAGACGATTTAGCCATGAATAATTCCAAGTTGTTTGTTGACATATGTACTAATTGGATTTATTATTGGAATCTTTTATATCATGAAATTGTATAAAGGCTGCAGGCCGTCATACTGTTCTAAGAATATCCTAACCTGAGCGTCCAAAACAGCCGGTGGCCGCGCCGCGTTCGCACGGCTATCTTTAGGCTAAGTTCATTTTAATCCGGTCCATGCCAGAACACTTCCAGCTGGTTCTTACACTGTTCTGGAACCATGTTGCGATGGGGGAACTATGAATCTTACCCACCCCACTTTTGGGCCAGAACCCGTGTGAACCCCTTCATCTGGAGCTAAATTGCAAACTTAATTTGAGAGCGATTCATGGTCAAGAACCCTATTACAGACTCAACACCTTAGCCGGGGAACAGAACAACCACATCTATGAAAAACAAGACTTGTATCAGCTACAATATTGATTACGTTGTTACATTTATCCGCACCTTTCAAAGGCGCCTTTAGTAGATATCGTAGTATAAAAATTGACTTTCTCCAAGTAATAAAAATAATTTAAATACAGGTGTTCCAAAAAAGAACATTGTTTGAACATTGATAACTATCTCGCTTTCAAGTTCTTTCTCCGAGCTTGAGGTCTCATTCTGTATTCTGTAGAGCGAGGACACACACACACACACACACACACACACACACACACACACACACACACACACACACACACACACACACACACACACACACACACACACACACACACACACACACACACACACACACACACACACACACACACACACACACACACACACACACACACACACACACACACACACACACACACACACACACACACACACACACACACACACACACACACACACACACACACACACACACACACACACACACACACACACACACACACACACACACACACACACACACACACACACACACACACACACACACACACACACACACACACACACACACACACACACACACACACACACACACACACACACACACACACACACACACACACACACACACACACACACACACACACACACACACAATCCTTAGCCGTTATTATTAGTCATGATTGTATTCATTGCACTTGCGGCCGAGAGAAAGATTAGAATCACTGCCTCTAAAAAAGGCTGATGAGTGTTTGTGGAGTTAACAAGAGCCTTATTCTGCGAATTGTAATAACTGTTGAAAATGTGCAGGATGTCTAGCAGCAAAAGCTTTCAAGTGTTTGAACTAGGCGATGTAAAATCTTTGAAGTAATTGACTGAATGCCTGCTTTGGTCTAATTTGTGCTTGTTTTCCTTATTTACATTTTTCAACAAGTGATAAAGTTTGTTACCTGAGTTAAAGTGCAGTGGTGTGATAGTGTGAGAATTTGCTCACCCTCCCTTTACCCCCGAAATGGGACTAACAAGGGAAGTTCGCCGAGTCGAAATGGCCGATTGATACGTGGTATATACCCGGACGCGGGGCTCGGGAGGTTAGTCTCAAGTGTGCGCCCATTAGGTGCGACGCGTCATTGTGAAGCAAGTTACGGCCCTCTGAAGTTTTTGGCGTGTGCATGTCTAGAGTACGCACAAATGCTCCAACTGTGGTCGTGTGGTGTAGTGGTTAGCGTCTCGGACTCACAGGTGACCGGTGAGGGTTCGAATCCTGTTGCTGTCCACATGTTTTGCGTTCTTCTCAAAAATCATTTTTTACCTGTTTTATGTATTATTGAGGTAAAAAATGACATACACGGGTTACGGGATGAT